ATGAATGCTCTCAGGTGGTTGGCCTACTCCTGACTTCATCCATGGCCCTCTGCTCTTCTTCTCCACTGACTTGACTATCATGTTCATCGCTGCTGAGAACAGGATTACGTATATGGTGCATCCTGTGATTTTACCGACTTCTAAGCGTTGCCATTCTGTTGTATAATCTTTTACTGTAAATCTCAGCTGAAGATGGTCAAAATACTAGTAGTCATTTAAAACTGCCCTTGTCTTCTCTGGTGCATGGTATCTTTCGAGTGTCAGCTCAACAAGTTTATGGGGAACTGTCCCATATGCATTTGCTAGATCTAGCCAAATGACTGTCACCCCCTTTAAACTCCTTGGTTTCCCGGATTATCTGTGTCAGTACACTGGTATGCTCAATACATTCCGATACTCTGGGTACTCCTCCCTTCTGCACGGCGATATCAATATACTGATTTTCAAGCATACAATTAGACATTCTCCTCGCTTAAATTGAAAGGCATATCTTCCCTTCTACGTTCAGGAGCAATATTGTCCTAAATTGTTTCAGTAGTTTTGATTTCTCTTCTTTGGAAATTAAACAGCCTTCTGCTCTGTACCAGCTATCTGCCAATCGACCTCTCCTCCAAACCACTCTTATCAGTTTCTGGAGGTGCTTTGTCAACCATTGACAGTTCTTATAAACTTTATACAGAACCCCATTTGGTCCTGGTGCTGATGCTGCTCTGGCTTTCTTGATTACATCTACCACTTCTTTTAGCTTTGGTGGCAATTCATCAAATGGTTCATTTGGTTCTTCCGGATATATCAACTGTTCCCACTCCCCAAACTCTTCCTCCCTATGTGGATCACTGTGCATCTCTCTCAAATACTTCTCAACATCTTTCTTCGAAGATTTCAATGATCCAGGCCCTTTAGTTCCTAGTTATCTTGATGTAAAATGGAATGGGTCTGCGGTTAATCTTGCTCTTGCTTTATCTCGATGTTTCCTACTACGCCTGCTTCTCTCTGCTCTTCTTGCTATCTTAAGATGTTCCCTGATGTTATCTCGTAACTGTGATAGTGCTGATTTCTCCTCTTCTGTAGCCTTACTATACTGCTTACGAAGCCTCCGCAGGTCTTTTCTCATCCTAGATATTCCCCCTCTCTCCTGTTCTTCCTTTTCTCTTTTTATGACTTTAATTTGCCTTTGTTCTGTGCCATACCTGTCTAGATCTACGCTGTTTATAATTGATGTCATAGTTTTTATTTTCCTGTCAATACTGTATGCAAGGGTTATGTTTAGAATTGCGTCTACATCTTGATCAAACTGTTCCCAGTCACTTTTGTTGTTACTGTTTGGCCATTTTACTTTTCTCTTCCTTATATTGCTGTCAGTACTCCTGTTGTCTTCCATCTCTTCGTGTTGTTGATTGCTGCTCTGTGATTGGTTGTTGTCCTTGCTGTCATGGCTTTCACTGTATGAAGCCTCGTCATTACCTAACACATGGAGGCTGCGGTCACTGTCGTTTTCGTCCTGAACCACTTCCTCCACCATCTCACCAGGTTGTACTGTGCGTTATCTTAGCTGCTAATCTGGCTTACATCCCATCATCCCCATGTGGAATTTAAGCCCCTTTGATTCTTGCATACTTTCTCACAGCTGCATACATTTCCACTGTAGTCATCGTTTTTCGTTGCCTGGCTATATCCTGAAAGAAAAACAACAATGGGAGATAAATCTAACTCAGTGTATACTATTTCTGAAGGTCAACATGGTAAATATGAAGCAAGAAAATGACGTTGAAAAAAAGTTGAATTTTCGTTTTCATGTGGATTATTTTTTTTAAGTTAAAAAATGCAATACATCTGAATTTTAAATATCAAGCACTTTTACCTTTGAGCAGGGGGATCCTTTTCGTGCCAGCACCTACTGCAACACGGGACCTCGGTTTATACGGTCTCATCTGAAGGACCAATCTCCACGTCCCACGGTGCGGTTCGAACCCGCGGCATAAGGATCAATTCCTTACTTAGAGACTCTAGAGCAGACACTCTAATCACTGCGCCACGCGGGCGACACCTTGGTCATAGCTTTTGCACCAGAACACAGTTGCTTTCAAAATAAAGTTTATTTTAATTTATTTGGTAGTTATTTTCAAAGAAAATCCTGTTTATTCTTCAAAATCGTTTCAAAGCGATTTTCATTCTGCAATTTTTTGCTACTTTTCCAGTGTTCGGAGGCATTCTAACTGTGGTAAGACACTGACAGTAAGATAATGCTAATTAAGTGACAAACCAAAGATCAAATGAGCTGTTTTAACCGAACCATGCATGTACATGTATACGTGCATTTCTCTTTGTAAGACAGATCTACTAAATTCAATGAAATTTCATTCATAAACAAGTAAATACCGAAATGTCCTCATTATGGAGGCACATTTTCATAAACAGGATATTGTAAAAATGACATACTACAAAGAAAGGGGTACCTGATAGGGGACATGTATTGCTTATGCAATACTCTAAGGATGCTTGTTTATTTTTATCTGTTGTTTGATCCTGACTGTTCAAGAAAAGAAAAAAAAACATGCAGAAAAAAGAATAATGAAATATATTTTTCAACCTCTCTTTAACAAAATCTTAATATGCACTGATTTCCTTAATGTTTTGGGCAACATGAAATTTTAAAAACACATGTTCTAGAAGAAGGAAATCCTTATATTTCGTGCATGTGTATTTGTGTACCTTTTTAAAAAGGCTCAAAGAGCAAATGCTATAGCCAATCGTGCGGTATGCGTAAGTTTTTCAGAATATGGTCCACAACTCAAGAATCCCTTGTCCAACCATTGTCAATTATTTCACAGGGTATCCTTGAAACTATACTAAAACTAAACCCTTCCTTAAGAAAGGGAAATAATCATATAAAGACTAAGGCCATCAAATCTCTTGTGAGTTGATGCATCTTAGGAATTCACATCACGTTTAATCAAAAGAAGGTCACTGTCACCTACTTTCTGAATTCTGCAGTCATTAGTTTTCAAATTGATTTGGAGGCATATTTTGGACTCTTTAAGGCCTATGATCATCAAACTTTGTCAGTTGATGGATCTTGGGTCTTCAAACAAGATCAACTTAAAAGGAGTGAATTTAGTGGCTTTTCTTCTCCAAAACATTTTAGGACATAATGTCAGATACTTAAGAATCATCAATCTTTGTAAGTTGATGCATTTTTGGGGCCTGTAAAATATTTACTGAAAAGTATCTTTGAAAGGTATAGGCAACATGTTCAAGGAATATTACTATTTGACAAAAATATCATAAAAAAGTAAATTACAAAGAAGAATAATAATTTCTCATTATTTAAATTTGTGAAAATATGAGAAAAAAACCTTTTCTGAGAGAAAATAGAATCTAGTAAATAGTTTTTCTTATATTAAAATATAAGATGAAATTCTTGGGACTCAAACCCTAGCAATAAAAATCTGACATACCATACTGCATTAGGGATATCCGATCTTCAGCCAGAAACTCCAAAAATCAATATTTAATTTGAAATGCATCAAAATGAAGCTTGAAAATAATTTTTTCATGCAACAATTTTCATTTTATTCATCTTTATAAGATTCAAGGTTTTTGGAAGTTTTAAAAAAAGGTGTCATAAAAGTTGACATTTGTACCCTATAAAAGGAAAAAAAATTAATACAGTTTGAGAAAAATAAGATTTTCTTGAATCCATGCTTAGATACCAATGCTAATTAGCATGATATGAAATACTAAGTGATTTGTAGTGTCTTGCAATGATAGCAAGAACCTTTTGCACTATGTACTGATAGTTCGTCCTTTCTTGTCGAAGATGACCATAATAACATCTCCTCTGTTAAGTTGTGTTGTGAATAGGAAGATGGCTGATGAGTCCTATCTTCGCATGGAACGTCCTTCCACAAACTGGGCATGAAGGTCGTAGTGGAGTGTCAACAGAGGCTGCTCTCTCTTTACGCCTTGTGCGTTTTTGCTCTGCCAGGAGCTGTAGATATATGACGGAAATAGAAGATAAAAAATACCAAATAATTGTAAAATCATGACAATTTCTCTGAATGCCTGGATACCTATCGTTTTTTAACCTAAAATATATTTGTTGATCAATTTGCAATTAGAAAATGCATTGCAGAAAATCCAGTTTGCTTTTTCTGCAAAAATATTGGAGGTTTGGCAATTTTCCCATATAATATGATTAACTTTAATCTTTAACTTTAAAGAAATACTGTGGATAAATTTACATAACTTTGTGGATTCAGAGATACTTTTATGAATATTTTTGATTACTTAGCTGCTAATTTTATAAACCCGAGGATCTGACTACCTTAATTGCGAATAACGCACTGTCCTCTATGCTACATGGCTCATGGTGACTTAAATGTTTGTGATATGACTCTTGTCAACTGAATGAACTTGAAGTATTTCTCGGAATGATGCAAATGTTTGTTATAAAAGTGTACTATTGAGGTATATTGGCTTTTCTCTTCATGTTTTTGAAAACCTAAAAATGTATATTTTACTGAAAACTTTAAGGATTATTTTTCAAAAATAAGGAGCGGAGACCCACTCAAAATGAAAATTTTTTGTTAAAGTATGAGAAAATGATCATTTTTGTTCTTTTTATTGTGTGAATGCTTTTTCATAGGCAAATATTTTCAGTCTTTGTGAGATTTTTTGTAAATTGTAGAGATTTCACAAGTAAACTTAAATATTAGATGAAATATAAAATAAAATTTGGATATAATTGAGATTAGATTTTCCACTTCATATCTGTCGCACTAGAGACACTTCTTTCGCCTTATCCCCCCGTCTTCTTGTGATGAATCATTTTGTTTCAGTCACATTTGAATTTCCTTATTTTCCTATTGGAAATCTCCAGCGTCTGTCTAATCACGATCTTTGAAGGACAAGTATTTATATTCCGCGCTCTTTAAATATCTCAGTTACCAAACATCCTCTGCAAGAGTGCACAATTGTGAGCTTCATTGTGAAGTGTTTTTCGAATTAATATTACCTTATTGAATATAGCAAATTACAAACTATGTGCAACTGCACATTCGTTAGGACAAAAGACAATGTATCTTTGTTTTTTGAATATAACCTGATGCTGGGAAATTTTAATTTTGTGACAATAGATTTTGATAGATCATAAAATCAGGTATGTTAACTCTTAAGATATGCCTTCATTTTCTAATCACTGATAGGTATTATTGAACTTAGAATTACAGTTTCGAAGAAGAGCTGTTTTTGGTGCAATCTTACCTCCTTTTATATAATTCAATGCAATTTCCCCCATTTTATATTTGAAATATTGTATCTACCGGTATATTTTTTAAAGGTTTTAAAAATTCATTTACAGGTACAATTTTCAAACCAAATTGCAATTAAATTAAAAAAATGATTTGAGGGGCTAGTTGCGATGAATTGGTAGAAATATTTCATCAAACATTTAAAATTTTATTGCTTTCTTGAACAAAGTGGGCTAACGATGATATAGGTATGTATAGCATTGAAATATGATTACATAAAATTAAAGAAGCAAATTTTTTTGATGTTTTTTGTAATTTTTAAAGTAAGAAGACCAGCATACATAACTGATGAGTTTAAATACCGGTACGTATCGGATGAGGTGAATTATTGTATTTATCAAATAACTTTTACCAAACACACTACTTTAGCCCGAATTCCTTAAGGACAGATGATACAAACAAACTTTTGTCAAAGAATTTGAAAATAACAACTAGAGTCATGTTTAAATCAGTAAAATTAATAACTTTCTCTGAGTACTTTTTAATTTTTAATTCAAATTTGCATAAAAATGAAATTTGAAATGAAAAATATTTGTATAGATTAATAAGGATAATTTCAGGAGGGCAGACTTTCGAACATCACAGAAGGTTTACAATTTCTTAATATTCTAAAAATTTATTAATAGCATAATTTGCAATTAAATCATGCCAAAAAATGTATACCAATCCAGGCATCCATTTTTATGTTTGTATCATCTGTCCTTAAAAATATGTTTTAGAAGAGGTATAATGCATCAATTTCGCATTACTGAGGGTCAGTCATTAGTACTGTTTAAATATTTACGGAATAAGAAAAAAGACAAAATCATATTTTTCTTATAATTTAGTAAGAAGGAACTTCAAGTCTTAAAGGTTGAGATATAGAGGTACAGAGTATATATGAAGAAAACAACCCGTCTATTATTCTACTATTTCAGCTCTTACAAAATACATACCGGTAGTTACTTATTCTTTATACTTAATTTACAGAATGGACCACATTCCCCGCCTATCAGAGATCCTCTATGTAGGTCTGAGTCGTTTTGAGATAGGGACACCAAGTGAATTGACCATCAGAAGGGATGTAAGTGACGTGGAAGACTTGCTACATAGAAAACGTACAAAAAGAAAAAATGAATGTCCAGTCAGACTTATGCTTAGCGGTAGTCATAGGGAGGGATTCAGGTTAAATTCATCTGACATGGATTACATGTCATGGGTTGATTGTTTTAAAGTAATTAATGACCTTTGTCAGTTAAGAGATTACAATCCATCAATTCATCATAATATTATGCTGATGGAGGACACAGATATATCGCCAGGTTTTGTTAGATTACAGCTCTTAACGCCGCCACGTTCTGATTACTTAAGATCGTTATTCATTATATTAAATGATAGATTTTATATATCAAATTTGTTATGGAGACAATGGACCTTTCATAATTTTTTTTCTAATTATAATCTACAAAGTTCATGTCTTCATGGTCCTTGCACGAGTGGTTACAAGGGAACTATTCAATATGATCATACACTTTGTGTGTTCTGCAAATATTGGCCAAGTACTACTGGAAACTGGATAAAAAGATGCCTTAGCCACAAATGTCCTTCTGCAAATGTACTTAAAGACATTTTAAACAATGGTTATCACTGTGTGGCTATTGGGAGTAAATGTACCACCAGTAGAAATGATTTAGAGTGGAGATTATCCTTTTCTATGGCTGAGCTAAAACTAGTGTACACTATGAACCATACTCAGTTTACATGTTATGGATTACTTAAAATATTTCTCAGTGAAGTAATCAATAAAAACGTGGAGGAACCATTACTTTGTTCATACTTCATGAAGACTACAATGTTCTGGTTAATACAGGTCGGACATATGAACTGGTGTCGTACCAATCTGCTGGAATGCTTTTGGATGTGTTTTAAGTATCTCATTCTCTGTGTGTATCGTGGTAAATTCGAGAATTTTTTTATTCCGCAGAACAATATGTTTTTGAACAAAATTGTCGGGGTTGCACGTGAATCTCTTCTAGAACAACTTTATCAGTATTACAGGTTAGGCGTGTCCAGTCTACTCCTTAGTCCGACACTCAGATCTATCCTTGAGCCAGCTCTTTCCGATCTGACATCAGTGATCCCCTCATTAGAAGGACATTGTAACGATATTGCATGTATTGATCGTTGTGTCAGAAATGAACTTTCGCTTTTCGGTAAATTTTTTTATGACTTGGAAGACATTTCTTTGTTTTTAAAATCTGTAGACACTTTGTTACAATTGTCACTGTCACCATATCAATCAGTAACAATACAGTACTGGACAGCTGAGTGTCTTGCTCTAGCAGCCTTCATGATTGTAAACAGTGTCCAATATTTTAAGCATAAATATGTATACTGTTTGGACAGAAAACTTTGTAGCATGTTGAAATTGTCATCTCAGATAGGAACCATCTGCCATTCACTGTATTTAGCTTTGTATTACTATAGGACAGGGAGATATAATGAAGCACTGTATATAACTAACCTGACTAAACGAAGACTTTCAGAGCCCCATGTTATGCATAGCGATATTAGAGACAGTTATAGATATAGGGAATGTATGAGTGGTCTGTCTTTGTCTGAAAGAATTAAAGGTGCTTGGACAGTGTCAATTAGACTTCATCCTAAGATATGCTATATTGAAGAATTAACATTAGAACAGTCGGTTGTAATTGAAAAAATAATGACTTTATATATTCCTCCATCTGTATTAGTACAGATGTTGTCAGTGTTATCGCACTATAAACTGGGTAATAGATCCCAGTGTTCACAGTCACTGACAGACCTACACACACTGCTGTTCTATGATGAAGGGACTTGTGTGCCTTTATTCACCAGAGACATATCCTGGCAGATACTGGGGATCTGTCAGCAAGTTGTGGGGGACTTACATGGGGCTTTACGGTCTTATCGAGAATCGCTTAAAGAGAATCCACGTCATAAATTGCAGAAAGCTACAAAACTTAGAATAGAGTACATACAAGATGAACTGTGTAGGAATTTACGTGAATAACTTTAAATTTTTGAAACCATGATATCAATTTTGCAATTTATTACAAAAGGCATCCAAAGTGAGGACAAAGAAAACTATGTGCAAAGTATTTGATAAACCTCCAAAATGAAGAAAAAGATTTGAAATATACTTTGTTGGTTTGCTACAAATTACCTGTATTTATGACATAAATGTACATATGATTGTTTTCTACATTCAAACACTAAAAGTTTACATTAGGTTTTCATACTTGCCTGCCTTTATTATTACAGAAGTGCATTATGGAATTTCAGAGATACATGTAAATGTAAAGGGATTTACTGTTGTCTTATTGGGGTCTAATTAATTAATAATATGCAATGACTTAATTATTTGATAAAAAGGACAATATACAGGTTATCTGAAGACTAACCAGGTCTGGATTTTATTTTTATATAATGCAATGATTTTATATTGATTGTATTTTACTGTTAGCAAAATCAAAATTGTTTTACATGCAATTCAATAATGAGATGAATGTTCAATTTCAGTATTCATTTATTGCATTTTTTTTTAATAAATCATGGATATTTTTTGCAAATATTCTGCATTGATATTTATTTACTCTTTTCAATTCAAAATTTGATGAAATCCACAAACTTTACATACTGTCATACATGCCTGTTTACAAATATGTCATAAGGTTTCAATGATTATTTTAAGAATTTTTTATTAATTGACATTTTGTATCAATAATTCAATAATTCATCAAGTTTTCTTTTTCTTTCCTTAAAATTCCCTCTTCACATCTTTCTTTGCTCCCTTACCACGTAGGTTTAATGACAAGCCACTTTTACCTTTTTTTTAAAGAAAAAATATATTCTAAAATATTTTCATTATTCTACATTATTACTTCTCACAAAAACTTGCAAATTAGGTATTTATTTTTACATCCAATACTAAAATTTTATTTACAATTTCTTGAAAATATATTCTGAATAAATTAGAGACAAAAAATATCTTTATGAATTATGGAAATGACGGAGTTTTCCGAATTTTTATATTACATGTTGTTTTAAGATTCTTGTTGAAAAAAATAAAAGGGTTTAAATTTGCTGCTGTTCAGTACAATTTTAGTTCTGTTCAAACATTGTATAAAAAAAATCAGCAACTGGAAATATTTCCACAAAATTATGCTTCAGTTTACAAACTTACTTAAAATTATTATGAACAATTTATTTGAAACTGCATATTAAGTTTGGGGAAAATCATTTTGCAAAGTTTCTTTGAAACTTAGTTTACCTGAATTTAAGTTAAGAAAAACGAGGTCAGGGTAAATGAAAGGTCAGGGCCAAATTTTTATTTGCCCAACAATAGCTTTTACTCATATTCATCAAGATATGAAGTTTGTTAAAACATATCATGAATAGTTTCTCTAAAATGGCATAAATGAAAATTTAAGAAAAGTATAGTCAAGGTCGATGTGAAATAAGATGCCAACGGGCAAAGAAATGCTCTTCTGATAAAGTGTTCAACACCATTACTTCAAATCAAATATTTATAAAGTCATGAAATTCCAAAAGAAGGTCACTGTGACCTACCTTTTGTTTAACATGCTTCTAGAAAGTAGATGCATCAATTGACAAAGTTTAGTGATTCTCAGTCCACCCAGTTAACCCCTGGCCCTAGGGCCACACATTTCACAATTTTGGAAGAGGTAACCTTGCTCTTCACGACGATGTGTTTTATTCGTCATTCAAATTCCCAGTAACAAAGAAGTAGATATTCACAGCATAATTGTAATTTCACTAAGTTATCAATAGAGCACCCTTATTGACACAATATTAATATGTAGGACTCAAAAGTGCGATGGAACTCCAAAGTCCGATGGTCACGCCAAAGTCCGATGGTCTGCGCCAAACCCCGATGGTTTGACACGACAAAATTCGATTACTCGGAAAACAGTTAACGTTTATGATGTCAAAGTGCTACTGCTTAAAAAGGCGATGCCGCGCCATGCCAAGGGCCGATTGTTTAAAATAAATACAAATAAAAATTAAATGCAAAGATTAACCGTCATCTTTTTGATATAGCTGCGAGACTAGCCGTATTCAGTCGAAAAGTGCGTAATACTCATTAACTATAACCTAAATATCTTGGGTGGATGCAGGACTAATCCAAATCAGTCGAGGACTAGGCTAACTCGAAAATCTTTCGGGTGGGTTCGAAGAACCACATAATTAATCCAAAGGTGTTCAAGGACTAATCCTTATCTGTCGAGTGGTGTGTGAGGACTAATCCTAATCAATGCCTCTAGTGGGTGAAAACAATAAGAAAAATCAGTAAAATTGTGTAGACAGACGAATACTGATTTTGAATGCAGAAAATGGCATGACGTCGGAGTATTGTGACGTCATAAACATTGATTGACTGTTCCTCCGCACCATCGGACCTTGGCGTATCAGACCATCGAACTTTAGCGGAACGCGTCTCATAGGAAACTAGTCATCAGACTTTGACGTGATCATCATGGAGACTTTGGCGTCCGTAATGACATAGAGCCATCGGGGTTTGTCGCAGACCATCGGGGTTTAGCAAGACCATCGGACTTTGGCGTCACCATTGCACTTTGGAGTCTTGCATTTATATTCCCATTCAACTATATTTTATTCATACAGACTATGTGAAGATTAAGTTTTAGAGGATAAAAAGAAAGGAAAAACCTTTGTGACTTAAACAATATCATAATGGAATGTGGATATAACAACCTCACGGACTTTAAAATTTGATGACATAAGGAAATTTGCAACGTATTTTAAAATTTAGCAATGTTTAAATAGCATGGTTAATATGCAAGCTCTCATATGCCCGCATATATCCATATAAAAATAAAATATTGTCTCTGAAAAGAGTGTCAGAAAACCAGGTAAAGGCAAAAGGTATGAAATTAAAAAATAAAGTGTTGAAATTGATAACATACATATTCTTTGTGAATCCTCCCCTTGTGGTTATTTACATTATACATGTAGTTAAAATAAGGAAACAAAATACAAGAAAATGACAAATTTATAAAAAATATTCTATTTTCAACCTAAATAAAAGCATGGAAAAACAAGATACAGAGAAAGGAAGTTAAATCGAAAGAAAGGGTGGTTAAAAGAAAACCGAAATAAAAATATTGATTAATAAAAAGGGAAGTAGAAAATATAAAATTAGAAAAAAAACTCGCAGAATCCTTCTTTTGAACCTTTATCTGATTATGGGATATCCAAGATAACGAGCGGAGAAAAAATAGCAGAGGAATAGGCGGTCGACAGAAATTAAATAAAAACCAATAGAAAGAGACAGGGGATAAATATTGAGATTGCAGCCGGGTAATTGGTCAGTGTCACAAACCACGTGCACTGTTTTTAAAAAAAGCATGTCGATAAACCGACTCTCCTATTACTCTGCAATGATATTAAATATATAACAGTTGAGAATTCTAAATTAGTATTTTATCTTTTGCCGCTTTTGCGGCTTTGTATTCAATTATATTATTAGGAAACTAGCGCAAATTAGTATAAAATTCTTATTTTTAACTAATTACTAAAGTTATTTTGTATATGATGAAAATGCAGAATGAACTCCCGTAGCATCTGCACTGAAAAATTATCCATGTCTAATTTCTTAGGAAATGAGTCATCTTTAAATTAATGGTTGTTTCTCGTATCCAGACACAGAGTAAAACAAAAATTCCGTGGGTAGGTAGCTGGGATTTTTACTATATACTTGATGATAAGATTTAAGGACAATGTAAACAAAAGATATCGTTATTTAGAGGTTAAAATCAGTTTTGCGTCGGCAAATTTTTAGCCAGTTGACCGGGAGAGAGCAAACAAATATTTCTTGAAAGATGGTCCCAGGATTTCTCTTCTTTTTTCGCTTGTCCATTGACATTGAAATAGAATAATTACTTGTATTTTATTTATAGTTTGTTTTCTGATCAAGATCATAAATATAATGTTTCTTTTAAAAATGTGCATTTTGATACGATTATGAGGTTCATCGGTCAGAGCGTTTTGCTGTTAACCAATTAGCAATTCACTTATGAATTGCCATCCCTAAAAGATATATACATTGTATATATAATAACTTCAGTTTAGGCTAACGTCCTATGATATTTCATGCCTTAAAACTTTTCCTCTAATTCCAACCCCCGACCTGTTACAATACTACCAAAAGTGAGAATATCAGGTTCATTTCTTTGATAGTTGATTCTAATAAAAGAGAAACAATGATTCACTGTATAAAATTTAATGAAAATGATTTATATGGCGAAGTGTTTCTGAAGACGATAGCGGTACGACTGAAAGTCAGGACACCAGTGGTGTCATTCTCCACCCTCAAAACAAAAATTTGGTGAATGGTATACTGTATATAAAGATAACAACTGCCTCCAAATTCATTTAAACAATGCAAATTGAGGGCAGAGGAAAAGCAAGCTTTTAAAAAGAGCAGAGGTGGGATCAGGTGCCAAGGAGGAGCATTTTGATCCCCTGTCGACCGGCCACACCCGGTGCGCTCCTTGATGTTAACATTGTTTTTCCATACCTTTCATAACAAAATATACTGTCATCGACACATTGTGGACTTGAAAGATTTCCTACAAAAAGTATTTGGTTTTAATTATACGCCTGGAAATCCCACAAATACAGCTCACTCGAAATTTCCAAGGAAGAAATTATTTCTTATCATATTTCAGTGTTTCATACTTTCAAACTAAAAGTCAAGTTGCACCAAACTAGGTGAGGTTGATAAACCTTGCTTTCTTAATATCCTAAAAACCATTAAGAATTATAAGTTTCATTGCTGGGTCAAACAAATACTAGTATTTAACAAGTGTTTATTTTTCTTGTCTTGATTTACTCCTCACAATATTAACTGCAGTTAGAAGAAACTTCCAAAGAACTGTGCTGCAGCATATTTTAGAAGCAATGTGCTCCTTTATTATCTAACCTGTTTTATCTTCGTTTGAAGCAGAATTTATTCCAACACTTTTACATGAGAAGAGAAAAACACGTACGTGTTCTGACCTTCAGTTCAACATTAAGATCTATCGACAATGTTTAATCAAT